TACGAATAAGAAACCAACTGTAGTGACTTTTTTCAATTAAAATCCCAGTTTAAATCAAATTTTGGACGGTGGCTTAATTTTCTAGGAGTTAAGAGGTCCTGGATTCGGATCGCGCGGGGTGCGAGATCGTGGATACGCACTGCTAAAGTGTCCCGTGATAGGACGAAACGGCCATCTAGTGCTTCTAGGCTTTCTATGACGGTCTAGTTTCAATTGATTCATAAACCAAACTATTCAATTACTATAATACCCACAAAACAGGCTTTCTAATATTCAACTGTTCACCATTTCAGTTATGTATGTACTTCTGTATATTAAATGAATTTAAACATACTCACTCAATAAAACACAATAAATTCAGTAATTCTTTTCAATGGATCTATTTATCTGGTAGTTCTTATTTATAATCTGTAGAGTAGTTGGGTTTTCAACGTTAAAGAACTTCATTTTTGATTGGTTGATTGATTGACTGATACATTGATTACTCAATAAATTGGACAGTTATAAAGAATAATGTATTAGATTGACAAGATAGTTTGTTCTTTTTTTTAGCTATCTAGTTTTGACAAGGTTATTTTAGATTATCTTAAATCTGACAAATAATAAATCACATTTAAAATCAAAGTTAGTTTACTTTATTTTGGCAGAGTTAAAACAATTTTTGAATGAGAACACTTCAAACTGTCTAATATCCTATATGTTTCTTACATTGAATATTGATAAATATAATAAGCTGGTCATGTCTGTAAACTGGGATGTCTTGCTTACTTACTGACTTACCTAAATGGTTTGAATAATTTTTTTCTGGTTAGCGTTATTTAGCGAGTAAGTTTTCTACGGGATAGGGTCGCTTACCCCATGCCCAACCCTCCACCTTTATCAAGGCTTGGGATCAGCAGTAGCCCTAGAGGGGCTCCAGGCGGAGTTAAACTGGGATGAATTACGCAATAATTATTATCAGAATATATTATAATTACAATCCACTCTATATGGTTTCACGGCCCTGAAATACAGCCAATAAAGTGACCGATGTTTTATATATCTAATCCTGCAAGCTGCAAAATGGCCTGCTTGAATATTTGGGCTACCTGTTCCTGCCATCTGGATATTTCAACAAGTTGTCTGTTGTTCTTTTTGTTTGTTTTAACACATCATCATGCCTATTGGTCGCATAACCTATTTAGGTGCGTTTGTGAAAAGTTTACGACATTTCACTATACAAGTTAGAAAAGAGCCCAATCAGAGACATAGTGATTCCTGGCAATATGCTTAGAAAGGAATACACATTAATCAGATGTCGAGTTCTGAATTGATAGTATCTAACTGGCAACCACTAGATATTTATCGCAAGGGTCGATCAAAAAATAAAGAAACTTATCGAAATACTGAAATATTGAATAAAGCTAATAATAATAACTATTATTATTATAAGTGTCTCGGCGCCAAGTGAACTAAGTTGAAAAATTATTTAATTTCAGGCGGTCAGTAAAAGCCATAGGCAAAGGGTTTCGTGATATTTGACACTCGTCAACAAGGCTTACTTGCAATCTTAAATAAACTGATACTTGCTTTGAAACACGAATGCATCCCTCCCTAGGTTCAGAGTGTGATACGTTATCTTTGAGGTATTTGGGTCACAACTAACCTTACGACGGACGCAAGTATCATCATTTCTTTCAGGATTGTAAGCACTCTTGGATATATCCATCATAACATAGCTGAAGAGTTCCAAATGGGATAAAACACGTTTCGAATTCCACAGCTAACTTCATTCCATCTATTTTATATATAAGATTTATTGGGACATGAAATCGTATTTGAACTCATTGAATTATAATCACAATTAAATTGTTCATATTATTTGCTTTCTTTTTAACTAAATGGTTGAAATTTGTCCTCATGTATTCTCTTCAGAAATAAAGACCAGGCTTCAGTTTTCTAATTTATATGTTTTTGATTGAGATCATGAACCGATTGATGTTGGACGACCACTGAAAACCTGGAAGCACTGAACGGCCGTTTCGTCCTATTGTGGAACTCCTCAGCAGTGTGCATCCACGATCACGCCCGCGGAATTCGAACCCAGAGCCCTCGGTCTCACTTAACCTACTGGACTACTGAGCCGGCATCCATTGGTGTAAATGTCTAACCTCAATCAATTCACGAAATTACGCGATCATCTCCTATTTTAATGAGATAGACACCTGTTTCTACCAGACACGGATTAGCTCCACTGGTCACGGCTCCTCACCAGAACTCCGAGAATTTCCTCACGAAGCTAGTCACTAGTAAGCTTGGAGAATCATACTGTTTATTGACTTTTTAAAGTAAACTCAATCTATTCAACTTGTATTACACATCCTATGTCTAAAATATAGCTTGCTAATAAAAACTAGGAAAACTACTTGGCTTTTGGAAGCACAAGTTGTCTTGAGAACGTATAATAAAATTCTTAAATATCTACCTTCATATCATTAGAACGTACTCTTTCATACATATGTATTTAAAATGATATTAACAACAACGATAGCTGAAGAATTTGAAGGTTAATTCTACTTAGGAGTTGCACAGTAATATGAAAAAACTGTCGAGCACACCTTGATAAAGATTTACAGAAGAAATATCTTGAATATAAATCAGCCTACAAAACTGAAGAATATTTTATTTGGTCAATTAAATAACAAATGAATGTACACAATTATCAGTGTAGAGGTTGTGGAGATTGTTGAATTGTGATTGATATTATGAGGCGATCAATGTTAGACCGCCCCCAAATGCCCTGGTACGGCCGAGAGTGGGGAGAGTTCGCTCTCCCTCTCGAAATACTCTCACACGGCCACGCGTATATAGCCTCTGCCAGGGAAGTCCTACTCACTGCCTTCTCGTGGCGGGGGTGTTGTTTACGAAAATGAGAGGACGAAAAGCGAATGTCCGGCGCTTTAACCGGATTCTAAACCAATGGTGCACATGGGCTCCAGTATCCTGCGGGAACAAATGGCGAATGAACTAATTGTTGGTCACCGGCTTCCATGGGACTGCATCTCCTTACGATGCTCCACTGCCATGTGGATCAGACCTTCAGGTCGAAGGCTCGGGGTGTGGCCCCCTAAGAAAACCACCTGCTTCGGTTTGGGCACCCGGGCAGTATCACAGCCCTCACACATATCGAATGAGATTTGTGTGGCGCATATGTATTTGGTGCCTCTTTGTACCATTATCTATGTGTTGAAATAAATAAATAAATAATAGACCGCCACTGTAAACCTGGAAGCACTGGACGGCCATTTCTGCGTGTAAGATCGTGAATACGCATTGTTCAAGAGTTCCATATTAGAACAAAACGGTCAACCAATGCTTCCAAGTTTACAATGATGATCTAACATTGATCAGTTCATGATCTCAAATGTACATAAGTCAATAATAATAAATATCATAGATATAAAATAATAATCTACAATACTATATGAGTTATTACCAACGTAAAATATCCTTTTCATTATCCAAGTGCTCTTTTAGCGGTTAGTTTAATAAAATGTTAGGGAATTTGTCTCAAGTAAGGAAGGGACAGAAACAAGTGAATAAATTTCATTATAGATGGATATTATCTAACTTCAAGAATTTAAAATTAGTATTTTCATTCTTAATGTAATGAACAATATACTCAAAGTATTTAACTGTTTCATAATAGTGATGTCGAGTTGTTTACATTTAAAGTGTCGCTGCATAGTGAACAAGAACAAACAAGTGGGAACAACTGAGTGTTTTGGTGGAGTTATGTTCTCTGAGCTGGATGGTTTAGTCGTAGAGCTTTCATCATCAGCTAACATCATCAGCACTTCTACCTGAAGTTTTTGCTGATGATATCGTCTACAACAACAATGAAAGCTCCACAACCAAACCATCCAGCTCAGAGAACAAAACTTCATCAAAGTAATCCAGCTGAGCTACAATTCTTCTTCATCATCTCATAATCGAATGTATCTGAACACACAAATTACAGAATGTCTTAGTAAAATCTAATAATCATATAGTAAATACTTCATTTGCAAAATATTAATCAATCATCTCAGACTTGATTGTTCCTTCGTTTCCATATCAATTATTCTTTGTTCTCGTTCTCTTTTCTTCGATCTTCTTAACATTCTGCCTGCAAGTATTTGACTTTCTACTAATGATACATACTACTTATATCTGTCAGGATCAATAGCACACACCACAGTATCACAGTTGTATTGTTGAATCAAAAAACGGAATGCTCCTAATCTATCTAAAGAAGAAATGTATGCTCTAAAACAACTATGTAAAGACAAGAAAACAATGTTGTTATAAGAGTAGACAAGACAAACACTAATGTTGTTATGAGTAATTCATTTCAAACACCATTGTGTTATCCATTTAGCTTCTAAGTTCTAATGAATAATTTTCAGTTTATATATATTCATTCATATTTGTTTGTTTTCTTTTTCCCAGGTTCTCCATAGTGATCTAACTTCAATTGATTCATGATTTCAACTATTTTACTGAAATATGTTAATCTATTGAATATATGAGGAATATTCATTTGATCCTTTATGTCAAATAATAAATCAACTAAACATCTAATCAATATTGTTTCTTGAGGACGGGGGGGGGAGAGAGAATCAATCCAGTTAATTTACATAAATTTTAATTGGTTCAAATCTAATGGTTATGTAATTATAAATAATGAACCATTTATCTATGAATAATTCCTTATTTGAGAATGTAAATTAAAAGTGTAAACGTTTCAATTCTACAATGTGTTTATGTTCTTGTTCTTCTTTTTCTTCTTCTTTTTCTTTTTCTTCTTCTTCTTCTTCTTCTTCTTCTTCGTCCCCTTCTTCCTCTTCTCCCTCTTCTCCCACTCCTTCTCCATTTCCTCCTCCTTCTTCTTGTTCTTGTTCTTTTCCTTCTTGTTCTTCTTCTTGTCCATGTTCTTCTTCGTCTAATAAGTATGTTTTTTTTTACATTTCAGATAAGAAATGATTCGTTTATCTTTGATGTGTTTAACTTTCATTAGCTTAACAATTGCCAGAAAGAGTGAAACTTTTGATGCTCCATTTATAATCGACAAAAATGGTAAGTATTAAATGATATACAAGACAATTAATAAGAATAAATAAACGATATTCTTTTCAATGAATTTCTTATCAGTTATTCTATAATTATCATATCCAAATTAGTAATTCATAAATATGGTCAGGTTTAAGGCTGAGTATATCATATAAAATTGTAATATGTACATTAAGAATTGTTGTTTGTCATGGAGGAGAAGATTTGTAGCTCAGGTGGAAGTTTTTGCTGTTGATAATGATGTCATTTAGAAGAACAATTAAAGCTCCACGATCAAACTATCCAGCTCAGAGGATAAAACTCCATCAATATCATCCACCTGAGCTACAAATCTTCTCCTACATGACAAATAACAATTCATAATTCACATGTAACAAGTATTAAATGATTTACTTTGCCTTAAACCTGGCCAATTTTATAGATTATTAATGTGGATATATATAATTGTAGAACCTGATGAGGAATTATTGAAAAGAATAGTCTTCGTTCATATAATTGTTTTCTAATAATAATAGGAATCTTCCAGCGACTAATATGAATAAATCTGAATGATAGCATTTTGAATTAGGTGAAATGTTTTGAATCAGTGTCCATCTCCAGGAAACATATTAGAAACAGGTTAGTAAGATGAGTATAGGGTTATAGAGAGTGGAGAGTTCAGATTGATATCATGAATGGATAAATGTTATACCACCATTGAAAACTTGGAGGCACCGGACGGTCGTTTCTTCCTCAGTAATATCGTGGATTAGTTGAAGTTAGACATTAGCATCGTTGGATGCCAGCTCAGTGGTTTTATGGTTTTGCGCTCGCGCGCGAACCTGATAGGTCCTGGGTTCGCGGAGGACGTAATCGTGGATGCGTGCTGCTAAGGAGTCCCATACTAGGACAGAAGTAATAGTATTGAAATTTCTAATGAAGAATCAATCAAGTTGACTACTTAAAACCATTTCAGTAGTTAACATCAAATTTATGTTACTTCCTTTCTTACTTTATTAATACATAGGTTCCATGATGTTAACGATTAATGGATATAATTATACTTTAAATGAGAAATTGAATTTAACAGTAATAGATGATATATGCCAAACCAATATCGACTTTTCGAGACCAAATGAAAAAGAGAAAAATGAAAGAAAAGGAATTCGTTTAATGCAAGTGTAAGTTATAAAATCCATAATGAATATTTGTTACTGAGTATGGGAATTTTAGAGGGATTGTGTTGCCTGAGCTCTAATGATTTGTCATGAAATTTTTGTTCACCTTCTAGACGACATAATCATATAACAAAATACCTTTAGAAAGTGTAGTTTATGTATTGAACTAGAGTGAACATCGACTCTGAGATGTAGGTACGCCCAGTTGACAAGTCCCAAATAGGATTCCATTACTAGCCACTATCCATCATTGTTAATGATGCTTGTGAATCAAGGCAATATCGAGGCAGTACGCACAATATGCACACATATCAATAAGAGGTTGGTCAATAGCGGTCCTAAACATCAGTGTGAAGATTCAAGTAAAGCAATACTAAGGGAATCTAATTGATAATGGTATTGAATAAACTTTTAAAATTCTGTTAAATAAAATATAATCAATTCATTGCTTAATCACTTTTGAACATTTTGGTTTTCTTCTTAAGGGTATGTGAAACGGAGATTGAAGATGATGAAAGTACAGAAAGCGTACAAGCAACGAATACAACACTGAAGAAAAAATGATTTCTTTTCTGAGATGAAAATTATCATTCAATTACTGGATTATTGTCTTTATTGTTAAATTACATCTTCTGGTTGTAATTCACATAAACAATTCAATAAGAAGAAATAAAATGTTTCAATGCTAAATGACTTTGTGTTGTATTTCTTGACAGTTTACAGTTGATCCACAATAAGTATGATCTTTGACAATCTTCCTTGTTATTAGTGTCATGAATAATAAGTTCAAAGGAGCATGAAACTTGAGTCCACAGTTTCCTGTCGATTAACTCTGACCATCTAATATGTTGTCATAGATCATGCGACGTTGGGTCATTTAAACTAATGGCCACACAGCAAGTTAATCGCTAGAATTCGGAAAACATTTAGAAGGATTTGGAGATCAGGAAATTGATCACTACTAAGTGACCAAAGAGTTGTGAATCGTTAATCAGGAGTAATGAATTACATATTTCACAGTAAAACTTATCGTATAGTCGACTTCAGTAATGTAATTGGATGATGAGTGACCGGCTAAATATTCATCACTCTCTGTATCAGATATGAACCGATTATGTCTGAGCATAGATATTTGTGAGTGAATTGAATGCTAAACATGATATATGTTTGTTCGAATTATCTAAAATTAAAGTGTTATCCAGCGACTGAAAGTGGATAACGTTTTTCTTAGTTAAAGTAACCATTTGAAAATGTTAACACACAGTTGACATATCTACCTATACTACTTCTTATCAACACTGCTTACATCTAAGTAGTAGTGAACGAAGACTTGGTGGGGACAACCATTTTATTTTCTAGTGCAAAATTACAGAGTTCTTCCATAAAATGTGAAAATCTTACGTTAAGAACTTCATTTGCAAATTTTTTATCGATTGTTCTTTACACACTCATTGATTTCTCCAATTCTCAATTCCTTTCTTTCTCTCTCTTGAGTTAGATCTTCTTAACCTTCTGCTCCCAGGTGTTCCATTTATGATTGGTGTTACATATTACTTATGTTGACTGACATAAGTAGTATGCACCACAATACGACTGAGCTAACTATTCGATGGATTCCAGCTCGAAAACTAATTTAGATTTAACTCTTTAATCTTAAAATGTCTCTAAATTGACTTGATATCGTTTACTTGAATCTTCCCATTGATGTTTAGGACTGCAATTGACGAACTTCTTATTGGCATATGTTAATATTGTGCGTATTGCCTCGATATTGCCTTGATCCACAAGGATCATAAACAAAGATGGATAGTGGTTAGCAATGGAATCCAGCTTGACACGTGTTTCGTTCTATTATGGACTCGCAAGCTGGGTAACACGTTAGCGTTTGAAACAAACGGTACTAGGTTCGAGTCCCAGAGTGAACATCAACTCTGAGATGCAGGTATATCCACCTGACGAGCCCTAAGTACGACGAAACGCGCATTTTGGATTTCAATGTTAGTCACTATCCATCCTTATTTAAAACGACTCTGTTCAGACATTCAATTTATCAAATGGAAAATGAACTGTACTTGAGGAGCATTGCATGAATTAGCGTATTACAATAAACAGGACGAACACTACTCAGCCAAGAATTTGCTCATTCATCCGACGTCAAAATAAACTCCCAAAACTTTATTTCAATTTAACCAGAATTGATGCACGTGACAGCTGATAAAATTTCACTTCACTTACTTTCCGGCCTAGAAATATACTATCATTATTATAATATAATCAAGAATTCTTTAGTAGAATAATCGAGTCATTGTACCGTTAGTATGGATGAATAGATAGACTGATAGATCCCGGGTTCGAATCCTGTGAGGCGGGGTCGTGGATGCGCACTGCTGAGGAGTATGACAACAGGACGAAACGGTCGTCCAGTACTTTCAGGTTTTCCATGATAATCTATCTTCAATTGACTCATAATTTCAACTATTGAAATTACTACAATCTCCACAAAACCCCTTCTGAATAGGTTTTATTAATGATGTAGATAAGATCAATACCTATCCACTACATAAAAATATGGATTTGTTAATATAAATGTTACCAAATCAATAAAAAATGTGACTGTTATTTGTACTTGTAATATTTAAACAAACTTAACGGTGATGTAATTTCAATATTGGTTAAAATACCTTGTGTTGTTGAGTTATTTTTCAGTTTTCTAGGGTTAATATCAACATACACAATAGTTATTATTATTATTATTATTGTCAAGTGTAACATTTATCTCAGAATGTGTACAAATTCCATAAAGTATTACAATTCCTAATGAGGTTCTGTTATGTCCTTTGGTCTGTCTACCCACTTTTGGTGCTTGAGAATACTTATCTAATCCAGCTTAAGACCTTGGTGCGATAGGCTGACCGACCTAACCTTGAGGTTAGTACGCGTGAGTTCGAAGTGGGGTAGAGAGAAGAAAACTATTCTATCACCTGTTTGGCTGACAAGCACGAGAATGAGAGAAGACCAGACAACTGGAACACTACTCGATCTATTCCCGATATCTTGACTTCAGTTCAGTTCGGATTAGTGTAATAAGGTACATTAATAAATAACCTGACCACAACGTACGATAATTAGGAAAAATACAATTATGTCCAAAGATGGGAATTAGCGTAGAAAATAGGGTGCAAAATATTATTTTTAAATTACAATAGCTTCGGAACAGAAAAGAGTATGGCAATGAACCATACATCGAACGAAAGCTTATGTTCTGTAGAATAGATTAGGGACAAAAATAAATGTTAATGTTTTACAAGCTTTGCATAAAATGAAATAACGTCCCGAAAAATAGCTTTCGTAGTTTGTCAGTACTTCTTGTTTCCCTGTTCACATCAGATTCATCCTAAATGACTTTGAAGATTGAATCTAGATTAAATATAATCTCAGTTCAATTATATGAAATGGATGACGAATCGAATTGTATGCTGGAAAAATAATGATTGTTGATATTGTTGTACTTAAGAAGTTCATTTCAACAGTGTAATAAGATGAAGATTATCAACAAAGATTAGTAACTAATAGAATCAAATGACCTAATAAGAGTCAAGGATAAACATCCATCATCCTCTGTTACCAAACACATAATTGAAATAAGTTATATGATTGACCTTAATTCGGGTTTTGTGGTGTTGTACAAAAGTGTATTTAAGCTAAGGTCTGTCGAAGCGTTATTCATACGAAAATCTACTTCCCCTTTTTTCTCACCTCAAACACACACTGGCAATATCAGCTTATTATCCAGAGTGATAAGGTTTAAAATTGTTTTCACATTATTTTCCTTGTCTCCTTTTACTCTCCATTTCTAGTCTAGTTAACCTTTTACTTTTATACACAAATGTTTGTAACATGTTTATGTGTGTGACCAGATTGTTCGAAATATATTGCGGTAATATGTCGCCATATGGTTCTGACAGTCTTCGTGTTCTCATCACATGGATGTGAAAAAATCAAAACGTGCAGGTGGGATCGTAGATGCGCACTTCTGGGGAGTGCCACGGTAAAACGAAACAGCTATCCAGTGCTTCAAAGTTCTCAATGGTGGTCTCACATCAATCGGTCCATGATCTCAATCAAAGATGTCGGTCAAGTTGATAATTACATACGAGGATAGTCGACATGTGTATTTCGATAACAATCAATCATATGATATTACTAGTCAGTAAAGGGCCAATAAAAGCTGTTCTTGATTCCAACGTGGTTTTATTTCCATATAATTTCTTGATTTACCAAGTTATTAGTCATTATTATTAATAAGAATTGTAATTTACGTGTACATATACTCTAATTACAGTAAGCAGTGTTCATTATATGATGCCGATATTTAATGAACCATGAAAGTGTGATCTATAATCTCGTTAGCGTTTTTTTAGCGAGTTACTTTTCTACAGGATGGGGTCGCTAACCCCATGCCCAACCTTCCTTCTTTACCCGGGCTTGGGACCGGTAGTAACTCTGGAAGAGCTACAGGCGGAGTTGTGATCTATAATCACACTATTATTATTATTATTATTATTATTATTATTATTATTCGTAAGTTGTTATGTAGTACATGTACCTATATCACCGAATACAAAAACAGAAGTACATTCAAATCTATTTACCAGTGATATTAAAACAGAACTTTTATCTGTCCCTTAGTACCTAATCCATACACATTCTTTATCTGGAATATTACGTTTTCTGATAACCATATGCTTTATGATGAACGATTTCTTATGACAAATTTGAGTATACTGTGTTTCTTTTGAATCATTAAAGCTCCTTAACTATGTGTGTGTTGCCTCTGTGATATTGGTATTGTTTTGTTCACGAATATGAGCATTTTGACTATTTTTGTTTTCTCAGTAATAACCGATCTTGTGTATGTTGATGAAATCTGGTATTTGACACTTCAATCATAATTATATAAGCTATAAGGACCATTTGTTAAATACAAACATCTACCTATCCACATTTGTACGTAACATCTATTGAGAGAAGAGCTGAATATAAGATGGTGGAGAAGATTTGTAGGTCAGGTAAATGATTTTAATGGAGTTATTTTTTCAGAACAATGAAAGTTCCACGACCAAACCATCCAGTTCAGAAAACAAAATGCCATCAAAAACAGCTGAATATTTTTCCAATATTGTAGTTACAGTTGATTATTGAACAATCAATATCATACACTTTTTTTGACATTTTCAATTCACCATACTCTCCTCAATAGGTGGTGACAATTCGGATGTGCTTCCGTCACCACAGCAGCTATCCTTGGTAAATCGTCTGTAACTATTCTAAACACATTTTGATTATTGGTTGAATGCTTGAAGAACTACAGAAATCTACAGAGCAGTACTGAAATTACACGGTGAATGAAGGCGATAGAGATTGGTTTGGCCATTAGATTTATATCCAAGGCCATAATTTGAGCGAGAAGTAAATTTTTGTTGTTGGTTCTTTTCGTTTTATGAAAACCAACATTGTTTAGGAAAATATTAGTCAAGCTGACTTGATCCGTATTAGCGAATAGAAAGTACTGCACCTCATTACCTTCATCCGTCTGATTCTCAAAGCATAATAATATAAGATGATCTTTCAGTTAACCATTATATCCTGCATTTTATTAATATAGACACTTACATTATTTTGGGAGACTGGCCTGTGAGAACACTTTGTATGCTGAAAACATCCTGTGGATTCAACCGCATCAGTGAACCCTTTAGGAAATAATATTACAAAATTGATCAACTTACATGTATCGATTTGGAGTGATAAACCATATTCTTCCACATTTCTTTAACTTACTTACTTACTTACTTACGACTGTTATTCATCGTAAAGCAGCATAGGCCGCTCATCAGTATTCGCCATTCAACCCTGTGTTGGGCAGTCCTTTCCAGCTCTTTCCAGTTGTTATTCATCCTTTTCATATGTATTTCCTGACGTAATGTGCTCTTTGGTTTTCCTCTTTTCCGCTTCCCTTCAGGGCTTGCCTCGCATCTCTTTAGGTCTAATGGAAATCATAAAGTTGGAGTTAAATGCAGCTATTTGAAAGATAATGGTTGTGGTTAACCACTACACTACAAACATTGGTGGTTTTTTTTCAATTGTTTGCAAGTATTTAAATCAACTCAACGTTCTCGATGTTGAGGACTGGATTCCTATCGGTCTCATTTGTCATACATAGATCGTGAGAGAATTGGCTCAATATTGTGGTTGTTCCACAAGTATTCGACAATGAAGAGATTCAAACACTTGCAAATGAACAATAAAGCTTCATCTCCGTTGCATAAGCTGATGGCTATCGGGACTCAGTAGCTCAGTAGAAAACATCTTTTACATTTGATAAAATAGGTACTGAGTTCGAGTTTCAGTGTGAAAATCAACACTAGGATTGCAGGAGCATCTGAATTCTGAGTCTCAGACGGAACGGAATGCACGTTCTTGATTCTATTACTAGTCAACCATCTTTGTACCAATCACATTCAACGATGTCATTACAGAGGAGAACTAAATATTCCCATACAATTCTTCTGTGAACAAGATAAGTGAAATAGACTTATGCTAGAATACACGAAGAGTACCACTAAACTTCACTGTCAAGATCACTATCTGTACGCTGATATCTGAGGAATGTTTATCATCAATATAGTTTTATTTCATGTTAAACAGTTAACTACATTTAACTCTTCACTTTCTGTGTGATCATTCAACCTTACTGATAAATAATTCTACTATGGTACATGGTGTCTAATTCTATAGTATCCTGTTCTATGTGCATTTTGTGTCCAACTTAACACTGATTAAGTGATTATACAAGGATGATACCAAGTATTAATGCTTGTAAAATCTATTTGAAGTGTGTATAGAATACTTGATAAACATTCCAATGAAAAAAACATAGTGTAAGGTGAGATTGAACATGTCTTCACTAGTTAATGGATTCAAGGTAAATGGATGGATTTGTACAGAATAGTGGAATTTCACACTATCGAGCGTTAAGTAATCATTGATTGATTGTATTGAATGAATCCTGTACCATATCATCAGTTGATTGAATTAAGAGAGGGATACAACATTGAAGTCCAACTTGAACTTAATTTCTATAATGAGCTAATTTTCATCAAATATCATATAAAGTATTAGTTGATGCATAAAACAGTTCAGAAAACATATTTCTATTATGGATCCCCAATAAATGAATAATTTCTATTTTTCAAGCCAATTAGAATATATTTGTAATTAATGATGATGATTTCCTAACATCTTTGACAGGACAGCTCACAGATTCGTTCGAAGTAAAGATTGATGAAAGACAAATTTGCTTATTCTCATCCTTTCTCTTTCTCCTGGTGATCAACTGGATCATGAAGATGTCAACATCTGGGGGGAAGTATGGGATACATTAAACAGCTAGGATGCAACTGCACGATCTAGACTTCACAGATGATTACTGTAGCAGCAGCCTCAGCAGCAGTAGGTCTCAATATACACAAAGGGAAAAGCAGGATTCTCCGATGCAACATAGCATGCACCAATCCAATCACAATTGACGGAGAGGCTTTGGAAGATGTAAAAACATTTACATATTTGGGCAGCATCATTGATGATCACGGTGGATTTGATGCAGATGTGAAGGCGCGGATCGGCAATGCAAGAGCATCATATCTGCAATTGAAGAAGATCTGGAACTCAAAACAACTGTCAACCAACACCAAGGTCAGGATTTTCAATACAAATGTCAAGACAGTTGTACTCTATGGGGCACCATCCAAAAGATACAAGTGTTTATCAACAGTTGTCAACTCAAAAGACTTCGGATCAGTTGGCCGGATACTATCAAAAACAGCCTACTATGGGAGAGAACAAACCAGATCCCTGGGGAAGAAGAAACCAGGAAGAAGCACTGGAAGTGGATAGGACATACATTGAGGAAAGCACCCAACTGCGTCACAAGACAAGCCCCCATACGGAATCCTGAGGGCCAAAGGAGGAGAGGAAGATAAAAGAACACATTACGTCGAGAGATGGAGAAAGACATGAAAAGAATGAGCGAGAATTGGATAGAACTGGAAAGAAAGGCCAAGGACAGAGTGGGCTGTAGAATGGCGATCGGTGGTCTAAGCTCCATTGGGAGTAAGAGGCGTTAGTAAGTAAATAAGTAAGTAATATCTTTGACAAATGAAGTGTTTTCTATCAATTAAGGAAACAACATGACAGTTATGTAATTCATTAAGAATTTAGATTGTGACATTCATAAATTGACAAAAAATATATAACAGTGAATGAGTTGACACTGACAAGATGGTCAATAATGGAACAATTTAGTCATAAATTATTTATTTAATATAAATACTAGTAATATCTATTACAGATAAGATTTATCATTTACACTTTGGTAAAATACATAGATTTCAATCATTGTATAAGTTGTATTTGGCGTTTCGTCACTCAATTTAAGCTACTTCTTCGAAGAATTAATAACTAAATGAAGAATTAATATTATTTCGTTGTTCTATTGTATTATTTAAACTTGAATTAATATTGATTTGAGTATTTGACTGCTTACTCTGAAGAAGCAGCTTATATTGGGTTACGAAACATCTACACATTGGGATATAACAAAAACAACTTACTTATTATTTATGTATTATTCTTGTTTAAAACGTACACTAACCATATACTATTTCTTTTTCAACAGAATCGTTATGTTATATTCAATTATTTTATTCTTTATACTATTTGAATTATCAATAACTAAAGAGATTGATGTTTATCAACTACCATTTGTAATTACTAAAAGTGGTAAGTCTATGAATCAGTTTATTCTAATCAGTCAGTAAAGTTCTTAGTATTGCTTTCTGTATTACATATATATATATATAATCATGATTGGTAAGAATTAAAATAACTTGGTGTCATACCAATTTATTAGATAGGTAACGACGAATAGTCACTTTGTTGAACAATTCATGTCCTACAAGGATCAGTGTTTAAATATTCGATCTTCTATGAATAACAGAAAAGCTTTGAAATTTGCAGACAACTAACCAGAACTCACTTCCAAGTCAGTCAGGAACAACGTAAAACTTCGTACGTACGTATATCAGTTCGATTTGCCATACCACATGAACACAGAAATGCAGTTTTCGATTCAAATCACATAGTGGTAGAGGTAGTAAGAGTATAAGCAGTAATCGGAAACATGAGGGTTTGAAGATGTTATCCAAAGAGTATAATCCAGAGAAATAAATTTGGAAAGAAAATAAGCGACATGAAGAATTAAGGAGATTAGAATTTAGGAGAACACAAAGAGTGGAGGCACCTGTACCATTGCAAACGATTCTGAGCCATGTCATTTAGGGTCTATAACCATCGTTTGCTATCGTCTCACAGATCCCAACCAGATAGTCTACACCTACCATTATGACTCAGTTCATTTGTTAGTGACTTCATAGATTTGTGCCATATTTTGGTCTGGCACAAATCCATGAATATTTAGTAGGAACTAAAATTAGGAACTAGAAATACAGTTGACTGAATACAGTCAACATTATGTATTGTCAATTTTTTTTTGATCGACTCTTCATCTGTAATATCATGGTATTAGTTTTTGTTGTGAGTTATATAGACTTCTAGAAGTTTTAAAACATCAGCTGACAATGTCATCACAAACAGTACACCCAGTGATTTCATTACATTGAACACTTTTTGAAACCAAATTCTCAGAGGTAAATATATAAGTAGAATTGCATTTCATTATCATGAACATACATTTTAAATTCCATATGTGAAAAAGATCTTAAAAACCACCAGTTCATGTAACCATACTAATCATTATAACTAATGAATCAATCAGTAATCCAAGTGATGACAACTGAAAAATAACCCCATCTTGTCAGAATCAAACACTTGGTTATAATAATTGTACCTAATTCTACTATTGCAGTGTGTGCTACTGACATCGACAGATATAAGTAGTATGTATCACTCAAAGAAATCGGGAATGCCTGGGGGCAAAAGTTTGAGAAAATCAAAAAGAAAAGGACGAGAACAGATAGTGATTAGTATAGAGACGGAGAAATAACAAAGTCTGGAACAATTGTTTGACATTTTGTAAATGAATTATTTACTACATTGTTCTCAGATTTTTTACGAAACAATTTTGTTATGTTCGTTATCAGTATAAGGGTTGTGGAGATTATTAAGTTTTTGATTAAAATCATGTCAGACACCAACACCGTTGAATGCCGGCTCAATGGTTTAGTAGGTTAAGCGTTCGCGCGCGAAACTGAAGGCCCTGGGTGTCGAATCCCGAGGGGCAGGATCGTGGATGCGCACTACTGAGGAGTCCCACAATAGGACGAAACGGCCGTCCAATGCTTCCAGGTTTCCAATGGTGGTCTCATATCAATCGGTTCATGAGCTCAATCAAAAAAATTCTGTAATGTTCTATTCACATATATTTGATTGTCCCTACTAGTGTTCTCACTCTACTATGTTTATTTTAGGTGCAATGATAATTACAGATCATGAAGAAAAAATGTCACTATCTCAAGATCTATTACTTATTCATAAAGATGTATCATGTACTACAAAAATTGATTTAAAAAGACCAACTGAAGCAGAAATCAAAGCAAAATCCGGTACACGTAAAGTATTTCAGTAAGTTCATTTATACATTTACTTGATTTAGATCAAGAAACTTTCTATTAGATTTGTTCATTTAATAATAATAATGACAACGAAACTTGGGAATAAGTCTGCGATAGCATTACATGCATTAGAAACAGGAAATAAGATTAATTTTGAAGAGACCAAAACACTTTAGAAAGGTTTTAACACATATAAAGAAAGATTGATAGCAGAAGCGTTGTATATATGGGCGAACAAGAACAGCCTGAACAGAAAGGATGGTATTCAACTAGCTGCTACTTGGCAAATGCCCGTTATCAAATAACTAGACCCTATTTCTATCCAACCTCTTTATTTCACATTCATCGTTATATTGACAGAAATTAATGTATGGGACTCCTCAGCAGTGCGCATCCACGATCCCATGACCTATCAGTCTCGCGCTAGGCGCTTAACCAACTAGACCACTAAGTCGGCATCCAATGGTGTTAATGTCTAACTTCAACCAATCCATGAAGTTGCGCCAACGTACACGATTGTCTTCAGTGAGTTGATATCTCACAACAGACCTGGTTGAACTCCACTGATAACGGCTTCTCACTAGAACTCCAGGGGTACCTCTTGAAGTCAGTCACTAGTGAGCAGATGATTATTATCAGAAGGGGTTTTGTAAAGATTTTAGAAATTCCACTGATTGAGATCATGAATCGACTGATGTGAGACCACCGTTGAAAATCTGGAAGCATTAAACGGCCGTTTCGTCCTGTTGTGGGACTCCTCAGAAGTGCGCATCCACGATTCCGCTCGTGGGATTCGAATCCAGAGCCTTCGTTCTTGCGTGTGAACGCTTAACCTTTAGACCACTGAGCAGGCGGGCATCTAACGGTGTTAATGTCTGACGGTATTTCACTAGAACTCCAATGAATTCCCTCACGAAACTAGTCACCAGTGAGCGCATAGTAATTATCACTATAGGGTTGCGGAGATATGCTCACGAGTGACTAGCTTCTTGAGGGAATTCTCGAAGATTCTTTCAAATATAATAATTTTCACATAAAATGTCTTCTCTATACTCGGTGCCCAATTCCTATCAAACTATTCGTTCTAATCTTGATGAATATTCGTATAAATAATAATAATAATAATTCACTTCACTACATTCTTCCTCTTTAATGTCTCACATTAACTCGTCACCCAAATACTGTGAAACTATTCGATCAAATTTAAACGAAAATTCTTATTTAGTAAATTTTATACTTTAATTATATATTTCAGGAACTGTGAAAAGAAAGGTAAAACGGAGAAGCCAAGAAAAGAGGTACCGAAGGCATCTGTAAAGAAGTAGCATATATTCTATTGAATAGTATTTCTTCTTCTTCTTTTTGTTGTTGTTGTTGTCGCTTTATTCATATAACTTACTATTTGATCATTTCAATAAATTATTTGTTAGATTATATTTTAATGATAGTTTCTAATGACTGTATATTTGGGTAGTTGCATGAAACTTGTTGAAATGGTTGGAAAGAATAGTTGAAGTACACTGTCAGTACTAATTAATTCGTTTGTATTGTTTGTTTGAGTTCTTTCATTGATATTTACGACTGAAAATGATTATTAATTTTTTTATATATGTGGATTGTGTGTGGATCGCCTTAATATTGTCATTAAGTCACGAGCATTTCATGAAAAGATGGATAGTGGCTAGTAGTGGAATGGAGAACGTGAGTTGTGTTCTTTACCAACTGAATATACCTGCATCCCAGAGTTAATGTGTACTCCGTAACTGGAACCTAGTACCATTCACTTCAAATGTTACAAATTTACTACTTAGCTACTGAGTTCGGGTAGCCACTAGCTTATGAAATCGGGTGAAGTTTGATTTAATTGTTTCCGAAATAGTGACATTTATTTTCATAATGTATGATATAGGTGTTCTGTTTAGCTAATCAGCAGTTTTAGAAAAACCAAACGGTTTATAACAGATTATTTCGAGTATTTAATTTAGCTGTCAGTCAACTATCAGCAATTTTATTAGTCACAGTGTAGTGGACGAGAACTCCAGTGAGGACAACCGAACGTGTCTGAATATAATATTACAGAGTATCTTAGTAAACGCTGAGAACCATACAATAAATACTTCATTTGTAAAATGTCAATCAATCGCCATAAACTTCATTGTTCCTGCATTTTCAAACCAATTGCTTTCTGTCCCCGTTCTTTCCTCCTTGATCTTCCCGACCTCCTGCTGCCAGATATTCTATTCCTGCCTAGAGTTACATACTACTTATGTCGATATGAGTAGCACACATCACAACGGCTTCAAGCACACGAAACGATTTTTAAAGTTTGTTAAAGGAATTTTGTATTCTTAAGCTTTTAAGTATGCACTTATAAGCCTATAGTTTCTTGTATGCTATTTAACTAAGCGTTTCGTCGTAACAGTGAGTCCTAACAAAGACGACTAGTTTTAAGAGATGCTTCATATAAATACTCCTTGAATTTAGATTCTCGTTCAACTGTTACCTTTAATGAATTTGAACATATTGAGAATGGTGAAAGTTTAGGATTAAGAGGAATTTATTCCACTTCAAGACTTCTCATTAGCTATTAACTGCGTAAAGTTATAGAGAGTAATATTATTCTGAGATGGAGGGTAAGATTCATAGCTTAGTTAGATAATTTTTACCAAGTTTCGTTCTTTGAACTGAGACATCTGATCGTAAAGCTTTCATCGACCTTCTGGTTAACACCTGGATAACATCAATCTTGTACGAACCAAAGAATGTAGTGGTAAAAAAGAAAAAAAAGCCGAATATCAACAACAAACTAGACTGCTCTAACGGTGATAAGTGCTATATGAAAAAGAGTGGTCATCTTCTCCAATTGTTTCTACATGAGCACCAAATGACTGTCAAAAGCTACGATGTATTTCAACTCATACCAATACATGCACAAAATTGTGAACACATATTCAATAACAACTCACTGAAGACAATGGTGTACGGTGGCGCAACTTCGTGGATTGGTTGAAGTTAGACATTAACACCGTTGGATGCCGGCTCAGTGGTCTAATGGTTAAGTGCTCGTGCGTGAAGCCAGTAGGTCCTGGGTTCGGGCCCCGCGTGGTGCGTGATCGTGGATGCGCACTGCTGAGGAGTCCCATACAGGGACGAAACGGCCGTCCAGTGCTTCCAGGTTTTTAGTGGTAGTTTAACCTTGATCGACTCATGATCTAAATCAAAACTTCAACAAGTCAAGTCCTTATTTAGTGCAGATCGAATGCTATCGACCATGTTGCAGGTACAGCTTACTGACTAGTGCCACGTAGCACGAAACCCGGGTCTAAGGTTTCCTGTCGACTACCTCCAACCACCATCTAAACTCAGGTGTACTAGCTGTGATAGTGATAATAACAGCTTGAATCAATGTTTCCTAAATGGTAGTAGGTTAAAGACAATGGTAAAATCGCCAATGAAATAACATTTATGAAGAAACTATCATAATGACGTAATAACAGTTGTTTTATTGATTAAACAGTGACGCTTATATTTGAGAAAGGAGGTGAAAGAAAACATACACAAAAAAGGTATGGGAAATAATAATATATGTGATATTGATATCAAGAGAGAGAGAGAGAGATAATGCGTTCAATTGACGTGAATTCCTGGTTCACAAAAGTACCTTTAAAAAAGACTATTTATATATTATGTGAGTACATATCTTTGAGCAACCTTAAATTACCTGTTTCTTTAAAAATTCTTAAAGATTTACTACTATTATGTACTGACAAAGTCCAAAGATAAATACTTTCGTCAGATCGATGGAATCGCTATGGGTAGTTCGTTAGGACTATTATTAGCAGATGTGTTCATGGCATATATTGGAAATCTAGCTAAAGACCTAATCGAAAACATGTCACTCTATAAGAAATAGATGGACGATATCTTAGTTTTCTGTGAAAGAAAAGAGAATATGAACTATTTATTGAATAAACTTAACACTCTCTAAAGCCATATGAAGAGGAGAGAAACAATTAGTTTCTCTTTCTAGATATACTTCTGACTATATGAGAAGATGGTTCAATCAAACGATTCATTTTTAGAAAACCAACATGAACAGGTCAGTAGTTTAGTTATTACAGTTATTGCCCTGTGCAATACAAACGGGGTTTGATAAGGTCGTATTTGCACAAATGACGCTTGATGATGATATTAGTTTGTTAAACAAAACATAAATAGATGGGACGTTCATGGTGTAGTGAGACCAACTATAGCATTGGCAGTAAAAAGCCTGTCTATATCACCTTACCATTTAGACGTGATTCAAATAGCCTTTTATTGAAACAAAGGCTTAAACCACTCATTAACAAGACTTATTACGTAGCGAAAGTCATTACCAAGGAATTAACATGGTCCACGCTTCATACAAAACCTAAAAGACATGAAAACGATTGTATCACATCGCACTGTGTTTACCAATTTAAATGTCTGTGTAGTCACACATACATAGGGAGGAAAAATCGTGATCTCAAAATTAGGGTGTGTGAATATGTACGAAAATGGTTGCAGACACAAATAGAATCAAGTGACCCAATAAGAATAGAGGATAAATATCCATCATCTTCTATTGCCAAACATGTAATCGAAACAGGTCATAAGATTGATCTTAACTCGGCTTTTGTGGTGTTGTACAAAGGCGTAAAAGAGCGTATACTAAGATTTATTGAAGCCTTAACCATACGAAAAGTCGAAACCCTTTCGTGTATTCAAAAACAGTTTGTTCTCACCTTAAACCTACACTGGTAATTTTGACTTTTTATCCAGACTGATTAGGTTTCTAATTGTGTTCACGTTATTATTATTACTCTTATTACTATTATCCTTGTATCCTCTTACCCTCCATTTCTAGTCTAGTTGGACTTTCATTTTTATACATAGATGTTTTTAACAAGTATGTTATGTGTGATCAGGTTTTTCCAAATATATTGAGCTAATATATCATCACATGATTCTGACAATCTTCGTCTTCTCATTATATGGATGTGACAAAATCAAGTTACCTATTCTTTAGTCGAGGAATGATCATAAGCCGTGTTGAAATTGATAGACAGCGGTTAGTTGGATAAAATGTCATCGCCATCGCCTTAGCCATTCTGTTCCGTAGTACACAGTTGAATGTATCTTCGTTGAATTGGAGCTTGTGGAAGAGTGGTTTCTTACCAGTCTTTGATGTCATTATTTTAATGTCATCGGCACTAATGTGTTTCTTATTTGAAATCTCTTTAAGTAGTTCCCGCATGTTTGAACGATGTTCACAATACTTGAGTTTCTGAGTTAATATTGGAATTCAGATGTTTGATTTTTTGATTTGTTCGACCATTAGACCATTAGTTTTTATAAATTCAGTAATGATATGTCAATGTGGTTGTAATCATTTTCGAAAGTTATAGTGTCGGTTACTATATTACGCCCATATAACTTATTCTAGCTTCTGGATAAGGCAATTTATTCATTCTTCTTGAGTCACGTTTTGACCTTGTTAATTATTCACCTATCAAACTTGACTGAGCGTATGTGTGTGTACATCTTATAATACTCATCACATGTCAGTAGCTTATTATTGTGTGACTATAAATATCAATTAGCGCCTGACTAAACAGAGTTGGCTCACACAGGTTGTCCATCGCGCGTCATATGGCTTCGCTCCATTCTCTGCGCATCATTTGGTTTCGCTTTGTTCTTTTAATTGTCTGATTGGATCAATAGTTGTATAAAATATACGTGTTTGAAATCCTTATTCACTGACGCGGTTTAAGTCGATAATTTATACGAATATTCGTCAAGATTAGAACGAATAGTTTGACAGAAATTGGTCGCCGAGTATAGAGAACTCAATATATGTGAAAATTATATTTGAAATAATCTCAGCGATTGAAATTTAAATAATTCCAACGTTTCGTTCAGCTATATATTTCTACCCTGAAGAAGTCCAGACAAGTTAGCTGGACGAAACGTTGGAATTATTTAAATTTCAATCGCTGAGATTATTTCAAATATAATTTTCACACATAATAAGTCGATAATTATTTACGAGGATAGCCGACAGGTATATTTCAATAACAATCATTCATATGGTCTAACTGGAGTCAGATCTCGGGTCACTAAGAAGTGATTATCTTCAAATGAGGCTAGTGAAATAAGAATCATTACATAACTAGATATTACGATCCACATTCACCATATGCATCTTCATGAAATTCATCATGAAAACATAGATACTATTTCGTATTATTGAAGTAATATTCTCTTGGATCCTTTACAGTCTTGATAACAATTATCTACAATA